TCTCGCTTTAAATCATACTACCAGGGATAAAAAGTACTTTAGTTCTTCATGAATATTGGCACTGGTAGATAATAACATGTGTCTTATGCACGTTACGTGTATGTATAATGCATAAAATAGCATACTAAAACGCGGCGGAAGAGATTATCAACCTATGTACTGTTCTAATTGATACACCTCGTTGTATTTTATTCAAGCCCTGGTACATGCGAAACAATTACGTGATAACTACCACGATTATTCGAAGAAGTATCTTATGTATATCTTATAACATCTATAACTATTCGTAATAGTATTGCGGTTTATAGCAATGCAGGTTCAACTTTGCTGCTGCATCAGTTTCGCAAAGTAGTTCGTAGAAGACGGACACAACCCTCAAATTATGTTAAGAAATTTAACGCTAGAGAAAGCTATTAACATTATTCGACTGAGCGTGGCTCTGACATTTTGTTGGCCGCTGCGTCCGAACAATAGCAAAACTGTGATATTTGGCTACAGAGTGATGCAAATTTGTGCAGCTATTAACATATCCTTGTTACTTCTGCCTACATTATACACGACATATTTGCAATCGGACGTAGAAATTGTTTCTCACTGTGTTACCCAGGCGATAGGCGAGATCCAATCTATCGTTCAAACTATTATATGTTTCAGCAAGTACGACACTCTACAGGTAAGTGTCCACTCACTTTCTCCCGCTATTTTACGTGGAAAATTTTGGACGCTTTAAGAATGTATTGCAGCATATAATAGAGGAGTTGTGGAGTTTCATCGAGGGGGCACAACGATACGAGAAGGATATTCTTCACGAGTATTTTGCGAGGGTCAACGTGCTTTATGGCTGTTACATCGTAGCTATGTACATCATCGGGTTCGTTGGTTTGATCGGACCCTTGTTCCTCCCAATTGTTGACATAATATTCGTTGAGTATCCATTTGACGTTAATAATCGGACGTTAGTGAGCGCTATTATACAGGTGCAGCAGATCATCGCTTGCCACCAGGTATGCGCCCACGAATGCATGTGTTTGTTTGGTGCGCTACTAATTTGGTTCACCGCAGCGAGATTCGAATGTTTAATTGTTGAACTGCAAAGCACCGCGGATATTCGTATGCTGGCATGGTATATCGAGAAACACTTGCGTTTAAAAAGGTATTAGTGTTGGCTTACCAGATTTATTTGGCATTATACGCAATTATTTCATTTCTTTTCCAGATATGCGGAAGAAGTGGCTGAGTGTTTTCGTTTCATGGTTCTGTTTGTCGTAGCAGCGTGTATGCTTGTCATAACTATATCTGCCTTAGCAATAGTCACGGTAGGTATGACATTTGAGCGACGATTCTGCATACAGCCAACTGATTAGTGCAATTTACGAACAGAATACACCACTGATAGCGAAAATGCTGTTCGCAGGAGTTACTGCGTCTCTGCTTATGTATATTTACATGTACGCGTGGCCGGCTGATCACATGAAAGAAATGGTAAATCCTGCATACAGGTGAATGATATACGTGTCTTATCACTCTTCTATAATTTGCAGAGTTTGAAATGTTCACAAAGTGTATATGATTTACCGTGGTACGAACAAACAGCGAGGATGCAGAAAAATATGCTGAACGTATTAGTATACCAAAAGCCAGTTATTCTTTCCATCAGGTGTCTACTGCCGGAGCTTTCTTTGCGTTACTATTGCTCGGTAAGCTGTATTATCGTTACTATTGCTCGGTAAGCTGTATTATCGTTTGGGTTGATTAAAGGACTTGCACCAAGGCTCATTCTCCAATTATTTGACTTATCGAATTTCAAAAACAATTCTGTAAATCTTATATAAATTTAAATATTAATTCAATTCACATTAGTAGTGACGAAGTTTTTGTTCACCTTGACCTTGTATCTGTTTTTCTTTTTCAATTGATAGAGGTTTAATTATTGCACAGCCTTTAACTGTTACGGACAATCTGATAAAGTAAAATCAATTATAATGTTGATAATGATTAATCTTGATAATAATAGATTGATAACATTTCAGTACTTGTCGAACGCTTTCTCCTTTTGTACCGCTTTGCGTGCCATATTGGAAGATACTACCGCATAGAAGTTCAAATATTGTTATAAGAGTTATTATTGCAGAATGAAATGTATTATGATAACTAGTAGTGTTCATAATGTATCTTTGTACAAGTAAAACAAATACAGTGGAGTTTAAACAAAGTTTCAATATAAATTTTTGTGACTGATGAGAAGGTAAGACAGATTTTAATATACTGGAAAATTTTGAGAACGAACTCGATTGACAAAAATAAGTGACATAAATGTATGGAATCTTTTGTGTAATCAACAGATGTTCTTTTGGTAACAGTATATTCTATCTTTGAATATTTTTCTTTCAATTTAAATATTGAAATTTGTCCATCAATTGTCCTTATTGTAACAAACCAGAATTGCTAATGTCCGCGTACTCGTATTAGTTATTATAATAATGACCCAAACTCCGGTTTAAGAATCGAAGAATCGAGAATCCGAGTTTTCAGATTTAAATTCAAGTACGTGAACTTGATCCAAACCATTCAGCTTACATATTCAAGATTTCTATCGGAAATACCAATATTTTTTATTACTCTTTTCATTTTTTCAATCGAGTGTCTATCCTGATACTCAAGATCGGATATTCGTTAATCCGAGCAATAGTAAGAGCTTGCTGCAAACCCTTTAATTACTTATCAGTTGATCGAGGATAACGAATTGATAACATTTCAGTACTTGTCCAATGCTCTCTCTTTCTGTACCGAATACCACGTAGATGAGTTTATATATTGTCACAATTAGTATATCGTATACCATTAGCTAGACAATTGAAACGAAAACTTATGATAGTCATGAGTAAAATTGTAAAAGTATTCCGTGTAT